CACCCATTTGCCAATGTGCCACTATTTTCTTCCATGAAACAAGGCTTGTTAGCGCTCTAGTCTTTTCTGGGAGATACCAATTAGAAACTAAGTTTCCCATAATCAGCTAAGTTCAGAAAACTTCCCAGTTAGATTATGTTTAAATATTTTTAATTAAGAATTTTTTCCTATGTTAGTAGGTATCTCTTGGGGGATTTATAGTTGCAATAAGATCTCAAAACATTTTGGTTGCAAAATTTTTCTCCCTCGAAGGAGTATCTGTTAGGACTATAATTATGTGAAACAAACACTTGGAAATGGAATGGTGTCATCTTTAGCCCCTGTGGCAGCACTATATATTGGTAGTAGTATTTTTCAAGTGCTTGCCTTCTGACTTGGCTTATAATTTCATTTATTTTAGATGCTATAAGGCTACTTGACTTAGAACTAACAATGTCAGTGTTGTAAACATTTAAACCACTTGTTGCAAAAGATGGGGAAGAGCTAAAACAAAAAGACAAAAGTAAAACTAGGTGCACTTACAAGAACAATGGCTCTTAGTTGTAGGCCATGGTCCATCACTTGTGTTAGAAAACCAAATGCTCAAGACCTACTGTGAAGTTACAGGAGGCTGTCCCAGCAACTTGTATTTCATTTTTAAAAAAATTTCATTTATTTGTTTATTTATTTGGTACAGAGTCTCACTACACAGTTCAGACTAGTAATGATCCTCCTGTCTCAACCTTGCCAGTGCCAAGATTACAGGCATGCACCACCAAACCCAGTTTGGGAGCCAGCACAACATGCCTGGGATTCCTGGCTGACGATGCATGAGGTACCAGGTGTTAAGCTCCAGACCTTGAGCTTGCCAGACAGGTTCTTAGACTACTGAGCTATCTCCTCAGCCTATAAACTTGTATTTTAATAAATCCTCCAAAGAATCGTGATGGCCATCAAACTTTGAGAATCCCTATACTGGAGCCAAAGGTTTACTGCTTTATTATAGTCATTTGATCAGAAACATTCAGTTATTTCTAATGAACTATTTATGATTTCCCCAAATATTTAAATAAATACATGCATATATATGTATATGAATACACACACACACACACACACACACACACACACACACACACGCTGTTGAAACTAAACAGGAATCTTGAGACTCGACATGAAGAAATTAGCATGCTCAGCTCAGGGACTCAGAAGTTCTGCTGGCTCATTAAACAGAGAACAATCTCACAGGCAAGGCAAAGAAGAAGCATAGGGTTACATCAGTCTCATTCCCAGAGAAAAGGAGATATGCCAGGTATAAAAGAAAAGAAAAAACTCCTCAGAATTAATTTCTAAAAATTATTTTTATTACTTAGAACTATAAACAGGACAATATTCTGCACAATTGATAAGGTCATCATGATATTAAAGAAAATGCAGGATATTTAAGATGTTTCATCTTAAAATTAATACCACATTCCTGAAGCTAAAGAATTCATTATCACATTACACAATTCAAATTGCAAAATTGACCCCCATCTCCTTCCATTAACCTGTTCATAATCATAGCAAACTCTCTTTTGGAGTGCCCGACATGTGCCAGGCACTATGTAAGAGGAATTAAATTTAAATTCTCCCAATAACCTGTGAAGTCAATAGGATTATTTTACTACTTCAAAGATGATGGCATTGAATGCTAAAATAAATAAGGGTGTGTTTTCTTAGGAACTGTCAACCTACCCAGCAGGAAAGAGAAAGCTTTCACTCCATGTGAGGCCATCTCCACACCCACACTCACTTGCAAATTAAATCTCATACCTTTCCTAAATTTTACCTTCATTCTGTCCCTGTGGTTCTAGTACATTAAATATTGTTTTTGATCTTAAATATGAATGTTTTAATGAATTGTTATTAGCCTGTCACTCAAAATTCTGTGCCTAAAAATTTCCAAGCAGAAAACAAACTGAAAACTCATTTAGGAACCAAATAAATAGTATTATAAAAATTCCTCTAACTTTTGAAAATTTCCCGATACTAATCTAATGAATATTTATGAGCTACTCAGCAAACACTAAAAATTAGTGAGTGTGACCATCAAAACCAGAGTGCTGGACTTGGAACCAGCCTGTCTAGATTGGTATGCTAGCTTTGCCATTTAATATATGGGTAGCCTCAGGCAAATTTATGTGCCTCAATATGCAAATTAATATGACTCAATGTCCTCATCTGTAAATGAAAGGTAAGAGTAACTGCTTGTGTGGCTATTGTATGCAATAAATAAATATACAAAAGTCAGATAGAGTAGAATCTGGTTCAGATTAAACTTGAAATACAAATGGACTTTTATTGACCTACATCAAGATTGGGCAGATAGGAGTGTCTTTTATAAAACTGATACAGGCACTTCCATTCACTTATCTCTATAACTATACTTAAATAGTACAAAAAAATCTGGGGGGGGGCAATACTGGGGATTGAACTTAGGACCTTTCCCTTATCAGGCAAGTGCTTATAATACTGAGCTATCTCCACAACCCCAATAGTATGAAAATTAAGTATAAGAAATCCCAGATTTCCAATCTCGCTTCTATGCAATTTCCATTTTCTGGCTCTATGAAAAGCAGCAACATGAATTTCAGGACACAGAGGAGATAAAACAAACAAACAAACAAACAAACAAACAAAGCTTTTTCTCTTTGAGCTTTTCCAATACAGCTTCCCACAAGAAAGTCAAAGAATAAGCTGCTAAAGGCCAGTTGCTGGCTCCAGGCCTGGCAATGCCACTTCCTCCACCTGGTTGTGCTGCTATAGTCTGTCCCCTTCCTAAGCCAACATGTTTGTTTCATCCGCATCATCCTCCATTGCAACTTTGGTTGCTGCTGTTTGCACGCAGCCCCCCAGCTACTAGCAAAGGATGCTGGCCACGAGAAATGAGAGAGCCATCAGTGCTGCCTACTGCAATGCCGTTAGGTCAGGCTCTGTAGGAAACATTGTGTGACTGAAAGATAATGATAATTTTACTATTACCTTTATTTAAAATATAATAAATCACAATTTCTGTACTTTTATTCTTTTCTACAATTCTCACCACCCAGTTCTCCCTCCCTGAGAAATGCTAAAGCAAAACTGGTCTGGCTTTCTTAATGTCCTCCCTTCTCAACTGATAACGGCTTATTCTTAATTTTTGAATCAAACATTTACTTTCTTTTATAATTTGATTCAAGATTTTCATTTTTAATTGCTCAAAACTTAGCAAAAAGATGACTGTTGTTGATTTATGTGTTTGTTTAGCTCAAACCTGTTTTTCTGTAATTTCATTGTGGCTAACAATTGCCTTGCTTCTAATATTAAATAAATCTTGGATCCTAACCTCTAATTTCTTTTTCTTGATTTTACTTTTATATGCAACTGTCATGGCTCTGCTGGCTTCTAGGTGACACATCAGGTTCTTACTCATTGGACACCAAAGAATTCAAAGGAATGCTTCTTCTCACATTTAAGATGCTGATAAAGATTTTGCTCAGAAGCAACTTTTGTTTGCATTTACTGTGGCATAGATATGATTGTATTCTTCCAAATCTCTTCTCCCTGCAGTATTTTCATTGTTAAAAACTAGATAAAACTTAGAAATTATATATAGCTTATTATTGTGAGAACACAATGATAAAAAATTCCTTGTTTTTTAATTTTCACTAAATTGTCAAGATATTTAGGAACAAAAAAAGAAAAGAAATCTAGTCCCCAATCTATAGAGAGCTTCTTAGAAAGCTTCATCTAAATGGTGTGATAGAGATATCATGGTTTTTTAATGAAAGAATCAGGAATAATTATAGAGAAAAACAAGTCAAACTTAGAGTTTCTGCCTGGACAAACATTTTCTTAAATTTTCTAAGCTTTGAAATTTTCAAAAATTTCTAAGTTTTCAAAAATTGAGATTTAATTTTAGATCTATAGATAGTGTGGTATATTTTTAAGTATAAGTAGAAATCATCTGAATTATCCATAAGACATAATTTATCATTTTTCTTTTTTAACTAATACAACATAGATGTATTTACTTTTCTAAACAGTATTACAACTAAATAATGTTCATTGGAACACTGTGTTGTAGGGAATGATAGCATTCCCCATGTTACAGCCATCTGTGAACTGCACCGAAAAAATCTCAGAAATTAATGTGAAGATAAGTGAAATCCAAAATGAATGAATTTCTCAATGATGAGACCCTTGATCCTTCCAGAGTATTTTTGTGTTCTCTGAGTTAAGGAGCAAGTTCATTGGGATCAAAGAAGTACATTTCATTGCTCTGGTTTCTCCTTTTCATGCCATCAGGCAAAGTGAAGTAGATGCATCCTTTACAGATTTTAAGTAGAACCAAACTCCCTTTCCTCCTCTCTTTCCCTTTATTGTACTCTTTTCCTCTCTCTCTCTCTCTCTCTCTCTCTCTCTCCCCCTTCCAGTCCCTTCTATCTTTATCTTGCCTCGATTCAGCCAGCCTCAGGGCAGAACAATTGCCTGTATCCTTATTCCTTAGCTGTAGCAAGAATTAAGTCATGAAGAGGCTGGGAGCAACGAGGCAGTGTAGGCTTTTCTGGATAGCTCTTGCAAGTTACCCTTCCTTCTTGCCCTCTGTACTGATCCCCAAGGGACACTAAAACTATCGCGCATGTTCTTCACAATCAGATGCTGAATTTAATTTGCCAGTTTTGCAGTAGCACATGACACACACTTTAGAGTCTAGGTTTATAAGAACCTTATGAGATGAAAATAAAATATCAATTGGTTTTAATAGCCAAATGGATGAGAGTGCTTAGATTTCTTTTTAAAAAATCATACTGATAGTATTATTGGTTAACATGTGGTCTGTGGAGAATGAGATAACTTCTTTTTATTTGGTAAGATTGTTCAAAGGAGTTTAGAACAAAGTAAGTCATGTGAAGTACATGGCAATAGTACATTTATTCGTCAACCAGAATTCTATCTTGTCTACTTTTTTTTCTGATGATTTAATGTGAACATTTAAGGTTCTCCTAAAGGAAAACCACCAGGAGGTAAAACACCAATAAAGAAATCACCTGCTGGGTCTACAGAAGTATCACCTACTCCAGTGGGGCCATCGCCACCTAAGCCAGGATCTGAAGAATGGGTCTATGTGAGCGAGCCAGTCCCAGAGGTATGATGATTTGCAATCAAACTAGAACAAGTCATTGCTTCCCATGTTTATAAGAAAAATCACCTAATGTTTTGCAATATCTAGAAAGGTTTTTATAGCTTGTGATATATATCTTCTCACCAAATCCTGAGATATGCCCCAGGCTGTGTGTGGCTCAGTGGTAGAGCATTTGCCTAGTATGAGGGGAGGAGGGAGGGAGACAGAGAGAGAGAGAGAGAGAGAGAGAGAGAGAGAGAGAGAGAGAGAGAGAGAGAGAGAGACTCAACATTTGAACTAATGTGAGTGTTGCTGAAATCAGGAGAGAAAAATGATGTTGTAAGGACCCATTTTCTCTCTGAGGACAGGCAGAAATGCAATTTCCTAGGAGCAAAGAAGGATTTCTGCTGAAGACACATGCAGCAAGTGTAGCACCCCACCAATGTCCCTATGCCTGCACTAGCATGCTTCTAAATGGAGGTTAACTTCTACATTTTAGAACTGGGAGGATTTGGGGGTAAGGAAGCACTGGGAAGCCCAGGACCTTTGCACTGAGCCATATCCCTACATTGCCTGAGTTAGGCTTGAACTTGGGCTCCTCCTTCCTCAGCCTTCCAGAAAGTTAGGATTGTAGGCATGTACCCAGCTCAGGAAGAAACCTTTGAAGGTAAGCCCAGAAAAATGCAGCGAGGTGTCCCACCTGAGAACCTGCAATGGACATGCTAGACAAGCACACACTCACCAGAATCTGACTCTTCTCTGATACCCAGCTGCAAAGCCCAAAGGCTACATAGGTGTGTAGTTGCTTTAAGAGACAGATCATCTTAAGAATGTCACGGGAATTTTGTTTTTAATGCAGCTGTAACATTCACAGAGAGACTGGATTACACAACCGTATTATTTGGCATTTCGTGACGGCAGATGGTGACTTCATGTTTGATTCCCTGAATAAGTAAATGCTTAGCCAGCAAAAGAATAATTGTATGACATTTATATTTAATATCTTCTACATTTTATTTGTGTTATTTCTTTGTTTCTTTGCTTTACCTGAGATAATTTAAAAGAAACTTTTCTAATTTTCATGATGTATACAACAAGGATAGAATGTTTATCAGAGAAATAACTCATCACCACCCTGAAATGAACACCAGGTTTTCCACTTGAGGCAGTTTTCCATCAAGGAAAAGTGTGCTGATTCAAATCCTTGAGGGCCTATTAGATCCCAGATACTACAGTAATTATAGGAAAGACTGTGTAGTGTTGAACAAGACAGCCATGGCTTCTGGCTTAATAGAACTGGCACAGAATCAAATACAGAAAAGAGCTACAATTGCTATCCTAAATATTATTCCAATAATGGGAGAAGCAGAGGGTATGAAGGAAGAGTCTCAGAGCATCCTAGAGTAACCTTGTAGACTTACTAGGTCAGAAGAGGTTTGCTGGAAGAAATTATCTCTGTGCTGAGACTTGAGGAATAATTTGGAACTGGAACTAGCTGGGAACAGGAGAAGGAGGAAGAAGAAATTTCATGGGGAATGGCAAACTGCCTCTTGATCTTACTTAGTGGTAATTCAACATTGACTCAATTATCCAGAAACATTTTCATCTTTGAAATGATTTTTATACTTTACCATTTAACAGGAAGTGCCTGTATTTTTAGTATCTTATTGGCAATTAATAGAGAATTCCTACATAAACACCATCAAAACAGCACTCAGGAATCTGCGAGAAGATCAGCATTCTCTAATTGCTTACTTATATGAGATTAGGTGAGTACAGTTTCCTCAATCAGAATTTTACAATGATTTTTAGGTGACACACAGGAGCTATCTCACTTTTTTTCATGTCTTCTAGAACAAGCTTCCAGCAGCTTCTAAGGCAGCCAGATTACAAGCAAGAATTTGTATCTCAATGGCAAACCGATTTCAACTCTCAAGACCTGTGGGGTGATGAGGAAACAAAGGCCGAGTTACACCAAAGACTGAATGTAAGGACATCGGTGACCTGCCCGGCCAAGGTCACCACACGTTGATACCTTGTCCTGCGAAGCCCCAATTCATTCCCTTCCTACACTCACAAGTTGTTTGCTCTTGTAATGGTTCGATCTCATAACCAGTTAACTTTCCAGAGCAGTGACTCCTCCACATTTTCAGCTCTGAATGTGAACATGGTGGTGGCACTTCTGGGAAAAGAGACCAGCATCAGCAGTATGAAAGTGTGTTTGGCCTCCGTCTTGTAGGTCCTTATACCTGTGTGGCTGTACCCATTACCTGAGGTGAACTACATGTCTATCTTATGCATAGTTATACACATAGGTAATGGAAAGGGTAAGGAAAATGAGGAAAACCCAAAGGTTGCCTGTATGTAATAGATCTCTTGAAAGCAGGTCACAAGCCCTACACATTTTTGTACACCCAGCAAGCACAGTGCATGGCAGTTAATAGGTAGATTTTTATAAATTCAAGAACAAATATATTGCCTTGATACCTTGTACAATGTGTGAGAAGCTTAATTTCAATTTATCTACAACTTTCCTATGCAAATTGATAGATACCATTATCCACCACACTCATCTCTCCTTACCACCTTAAGTATAGGCTACTAAAAGAGGAATCTGGTGGTGAGCTTACTATTTATTTGTGCCCCAAGAGCATTGCCAAGTCCTATACCATGTCTCGTTATCTGCTTAGAAAATTTTCACTGAGCATCTGTCTTGGTAACTGTGCTGTTCAAGAGACTGGGCCTTCACAGTGAAGGAAAAGTCTGTGACCCTGAGTTACTTAGATTCTAGTGGTCAGGAGATAGAGAAGAATCGTTAGACACATGTTAAAAGTATTTTTGGTAAAAAGAACTTGTGAGGAGAACAAGAAATCAGGACAAGAGAAAAAAGACCATTTCCAAGATGGTCTTGGAATATCGTTGTGACGATATTATGATGATTATGGAGAGTCCTATTGAGGAGGTGACATTCGAACAGACTGAAGACACAAGTGACAGAGTGAGGACTGGGGAAATAGCTCAGTAGAATAAATGCTTGCCTGGCAAGCACAAAGTCCTGAGTTCAGTCCCGGGTGCCACAAAAAATAAAAAAATAAAAATAAAAGAAGTGATAGAGTGGGCTGTGTGGCTATCTCTGGACACAGTCGTATCAGGCACAAAGAAAGCGGTGGCAAAAGAAGTGAGAGTGGAGGCTGCCTAGTGTGTTTCGAGAACAGCAAGAAGGTCCATGTGGCCAAAGCAGAAAGAGTACAGTTCAGGGGGTTGGTTTTGAGGTGTCAGAGGGTGTGGAGAACCATTTTGTTTGTATCGCTATTAGAAAACTAGTGTTGATATGAATGGGATGGAAGCCTTGGCTTCTGGTTTTACAGATCCTATTAAAAAGCAAAAAGAGAAGGAAGAGCAATTGAGAAGCCATTCAGGAAACTCTGGCAATAGAGGCCAGGCGGCATCACAGCCTGAGGACAAGGAGGTGCTAAAGGGCTTCCCAAAGTGGTATTCAGATATTCTAGTAAAACTGAAGTGTTTCACTTGTTCTTAAAAGTTCTTCAAAAAGTAAATACATATTTATGTAAATCCTTAAACTACCTCTTTGTATCTTTCTTTCCTACCTATCTGTAAAACGCCAAATTCGGTCCTCCTGTATACTTCTTCCCCATATTAGTCAGGTGATAATTGGCAGGGAATAGGAAGATTTGGAAGTTTAAAACATCTTGCTTGAGATTTTTTTCTAATTTTAAATACACTGTATGTTTATTACAGATAAATTAGATAACAAAAAGAAGCAAAATTTTCTTTTTTCTGTATTTTAGGGAAGGGTCTAAAGGGTGTTCAGGGTCTCACTACTAGATTGAACTCAGGGATTCTCCTGTTCACAGCCTCCCCAGTGCTGGGATTACAGGCACCCGCCACCACGCCCAGTCTCAATCTCCATCTCAGCACACCCTGGGTGTGGGGCCAGCACAGCAGGCCGGGGATTGAACTCCCAGCCCTTGCATCTGCTTGCAGGTGCTTTGATCCACTGAGCTATTTGGCCAACTCGTAAGAAGCAAAATTTAAAGTGACAAATCCATAATCCTATTGCCAAATGTTAATTACTGTCACTACAGCAATGCCTCCTCACACTAATTTTGAGGCATTAAATAGGTTGATACAATTATACTGACTTATGTGCTGTAATCAGCTCCTGTAATCACTTGTTATATTTATATGCAAATTATAAAGAATATAAATAAATTATATTATTTTAAAATTACTATCATATTATAAATACATACATTTTGCATTATTATATTTATCTTCTTTACTATTGTTCAGAATTTAATAAGTGGCAGAACTTGGACTTTTGAAAGACATTTTTGCTGGTAGCTTTTTATGCAAAGCTTAGTTTTGGACCACCTCATTCAGCTCTGACAGCATGTTTTGGTAAATGGCATCTTCTGTGACATTTATTAGCAAGCCCTTAAGCCCTTAGTTTAAAAGCAGCATGCATTTTTTTTTTCTGTTAGCAATCATCACCACCACCCAATTCATGGAAAGCAATTTTTTATCCAAACAAATTTGTTGAGGAAGGACTAAAATACATAAAACAGAGCCATCTGTGGATAATGTAACTGAGCATATTATTTGAGAGTAGAAGCAAAATAATTATTGATTGAATAAGCTACTCTAAGACACGAGTTCATCAGGTCTATATTTGCCTTAGGAACATTTTTAAGATGAGCAAAAGATTTTTGGCGGATTCCCCTGAGGTGATCTGACCAGGGGTTCTACAACTTAGCAACACCCTTTTCTGTGCAGGATCTGCGTGACCGCCTGTGGGACATTTGTGATGCCAGGAAGGAAAAGGCAGAGCAGGAGCGGCTTGATATCATCAACGAGAGCTGGTTTCAAGACTCCATCGGAATAACCATGAACCACTTCTCCTCACTCATGCAGGTAAAGGCTGATGGTGACACAGAAGTTTCCCTCCACAGCTGCAGGCCTCATGAAGCAATTCCTTCAGGAATGTTAGGGCTGTGTTCAAGGGCCATTTTACACATAACACTGCCTGGTATGTGTTCCAGTTCACCAAGCAAATTAACTGATAGAAATCATTTTGATCTCAGACAAACATGTGCCCAACTGGGGAGCATCCCAAGAAGCTACTCACTGGCTTCACTTGCAGGTGGCCAGGATATGTGGAGAGGGACAGCAGGTAGAGTGTCTGCAATTGAGCTGTTTGCCTCATTGATCTCTTGAAGCAGACATGGACATCCCAGCCCTTCATCAGGGGATAGGTCAGACCCAGTGGGCATTTAATTTCTAGAAACAAAACATTCTCTAAATACTACTAGATTGGAAAAACAGACCATTCATCAAAAGACTCCGATTAATCTACATTCACACCCTACTAGATAAAAATTGCACAAGAGAAGATTAGAAGATAGACATTGCTTTTATTTGGATGCTACTGCCAGCGACTGAGAAGAGAGCTCAGGCCTGTCTTTGTCATCCAGCTTTGCCCAAGTAAGCACAAGAGAGTTTTGAGAGCTGGACTATGAAAGACTATGAGGGTCCACAGATCATGCATTTGTTAATAGGTCTCACTCAAAGTAAAGGAAAAGAAAATATTTGAGACAGGTTTTGACTTCGAGAAAGAACATCACTGAAATTAGGCTCCTACTTTAGCACAGGGTAGAGACACTTCTTCCCTGGCAATTAATTACCTTTCAAAGGTCTTACCACTAAAGAGTGGTAAAACTGCTAAGAAGTTCTTGAAAGGACCTTTTGTAAATGTGAAGGAGAACAAAAGATGAAGGAAATAGGTGGGGGAGGGGATATGGAAAGATGAAGATGTGGTGCTTACATGCACCAAATGCCCACAAAGTGATCAGTATGTATTACAAATATAAAAATAAAATTTAAAAAGTCACATCTCAAAAAGACAGAGAAATGATTTTGTAATAATGAATTTTCTAAAGTACTCTGAATATTCTAGAGTGGTCAGGAGCCTAGTGTTAGGTAGAAACCTGTATAAAACTGAGGCAAACTGAGGTCAATGTCAAGGATATCCTGGTGAAGCTATGCATACTGGTTGTATTTTTCCTAAAAGAATAGTAGTGAAAATAGAAAACATTTTTGGTCTTTAACTGATTAACTTTAAAAAGGAGATACTACAGGAAATGATAGTATTTATCTGGCAAATGAGATCCTCCATTGAAAATAAAACAATGTAAGCATACAAATGGGAGGTCATGGTTGGTCAAGGTCACTGAAACTATAAATGAAACCATGGTATGAAGACTATTATAGCAATAAGGCTACTCCTGTTTCTCAGATAGAATATATGCCAAATAAAATATATATATGAATATTTTATTTTCATTAGTCCATATTTGCAACACATGACTACCTTCAATGTGGGTATATAGTACATGTGTATACCATATCTTAATTCCTTTTATATCTCCTTTCCTTCCCCACTACCTGCATTATCTGGCAATCTCTAGAGGTTGTATCTGGGTGCTAAACAAATACTTTTCAACAAATAGCCAATGATTGCTAGCGGTTAGCCTTCCAAGAGACCTTGCCTAGTGCCCAGGCTAGACCACAGGAGGCCTGAAAAGTTAGCAGAAACCTGAGAGGCAGGAACAGCCTTGTTGATACAGTAGTCCCCTTAACATGGTTTCACTTGTCATAGTTTCAGTGGGCTTGGACAACCATATCTTCCCCATATTATGCTTATATAGTTTTGTTTGTTTTATTTTCAAGGTGGGCTCTCATGTGAGGTATCTCAGCAATTCTCTCATATAACTGAGACTGCTGACCCATACCACTGTGTCAGGTGGTCTGAAAATATTTAATGGACAGTTCAAGAAATTAACAATGCATAAAATTTAAACCACACACCATTCTGTGGATCATGATAAATTCTCTTGCTCTTGCTGTTCCACTTTGCACTGTCTTAATCGCCATCTCCCCTGGGATGCAAATCATCTCTTTATTGAGTCCACATACACTGTATATGTGTTATGGTTTAGTTATAAAATGGGGCCCCCAAAGTGTCACACTCAGAGATGGATCTGGTTGTTGAGGGGTGTCACTACTGTTGACACAAGGATGCACTCTCTTGCCTGGCTTCTCACTTCTCTGTTTCCTTGCTGTCTGGCCATGAACAGCATACCCCTGCCCATGCTTTTCTTCCCTGTCCTTTCTGCCTTGAAGTTCATCAGTTGTGGATTGATTTAACAGAATGATGAGCCACAATACACCTGTCCTCCTCTAAGTGTTCATTGTTAGATATTTTGTCCCCGAGATAGGAAAGAGGAGCACTCAGCAGCTGTCTCAGAATATAACTTCTTAGGAAAAGGAAGACCACTATGCTAGCTCTGCAATGCTGGTGGGAGATTTAAAGAAGTCGGGTCATCAGGACAAGGAAGACCTATCTAGAAATGCTAGAAATCTGGATTGGGAAGAGACAATGAAATTTAAGGGATCACTTAAACCAGAAGACAGAGTCAACAGACAAAACATGGATTGTGTAGAAGTTTTAAGTAGGATCCCCATGCAGCCTAAACCAGGCTGGAAGCATTCTCAGGATGTCAGTTTGAGCAGGCAGAGATCAAGTGTTCAAAACAGGTATATCAAATGCTATGACAGAAATATCTGAAATCCAACACAGTAATAGAGGCATAGAGTAGGCCATTTTTAAAATCACTCTTATGAATACAAACCATGCATGACTCTTCTTGGAAATGGTATGACTCTTACTTTCATTAAAAAGGTATCTAAATTTAGGGCTTTCATCCTCAGAAACTGAGGTAATATCCAACAACACTAGAAAGAATGAAAAGGGAAATATCTGTGGATAAGAGCTAACATCTATTATGTTCTCATTGCACACCTACAGGACCATATTCTAAGGACTATCAGGCAGAACACCTTGAACTTTCTAATCTTTCCTATGTAGAAATCCTGGATATAGTTTGACAGTGTCCTAATGACTTTCCTTGTCTCTCAGACAAAATAACTGTCGCCTACAGCTTACAGGAGAAGATATTTATTTTGGCTCAGTTTCAAAAGTCTCAATCTTTGCATATTTGGCTGTTTCCAAGGCAGATAGGGGATAGGAGTAGGACTGGCAGAGATCTGTGGCCATCACAGAGACCAGGAAGGAAAAGGTAAATGGAGGTGTTGGGGAAGAACATGTACATTTCCATCTCACATACCCAGCGACCTGCCTCTCCTTATTATGCCCCATCTTCCAGTAATGCGTTCAGTGGCTGAACACACCAGTGGGTGGCTTCATCAGTGAGTACAGTGCCTTAATATAATCACCTTCCAAAACACCCACCTCTGAACCCACAAGGCTTGGGGGGCACTTGCTCTCTAAACCATATTATGCAATTTACTCAAATTTAACTCTAAAGTGAATCAAATTATACTCCTCAAAATAATTTTTATTTTTTGGAACTGGGGATTGAACTCAGGTCCTTGCGCTTGCCAGGGAAGCTCTTATTCCACTGAGCCATCTCTCCAGCCCCCCTTAAAATAAATTTTTAATAAAATAATCACTGAGAAACCTAAGGCACAAATTCCACCCAGCACCATCCCAAGTACCAGTTGAATAAAATAGACTCTATAAAGAGTTCGGCTAGAATAAACAGAAAATGATTTCCTAGTTTCTACTTACCAAATAATATAATGCTACATCTTCATGAATAATGATTTTCTAAACCATCTCCACACTTTTCTCCCACATGCTAAAGACACCTGTCAGTATACAATTTGTACGGATTGGGTTTTTATTTGCCTCCTGTTCATTGGAATGTGCTGTTTTGCCAGTTCTCATAAGTATAATTTTCAAGACTCATTTCTCTCTATAGTTTTAATAAAAGTGTAATAATGTGAAATAACTCAGAGTATTATAGGGGACATGTACATGGACCAGTCTATTTTTTCCTGGGTATCAACAATAACTTTTACTATTAAAGGCAGAACTGAACCGTTTCCAGGATACAAAGAGATTCCTTCAAGATTACTACAGGGCAATGGAATGCAAAAGCCCTACAGAGGATAATAGGAAATTTAATCGAATCACATTGATTAAACTGGATTCTAAAGACGTTTCCGAAACTCAGATTAGGTAAGGCAGACTATCATATTGCACAATAATCATTTTGAAACAACAGTTTATGCTTTCAAATTATTGTTACCAATAAAAATATCATATTCCTTTTCCTGAAAAGTTGGAAGCTCAAAAAACTCTAAAACATGAACTTTTTTTTTGTAACTTCAATGCATTATTGATTTAATATTACCAATATGGGCTGTTTATCTATTTATAGGGAATATTTACTCTTTTTGCTGCAGGAGTAGAGTGTGGTTATTATGGAGTACCTTCAGTCTTTGTTGTGGGGATTAGGGAATATGTAATACATAAAAATTCTAGGATACTTTTAGCTCCAAGATTCTCTCTTAGGGGATTATGAATTTGCAGCACTTTCATGAAAGGAGCCAAGTAGAGCGTGCGTGCAAGTGTGTGAGTGAGTGTGTGTGTGTGTGTGTGTGTGTGTGTGTGATATTATATAAATGAGAATTGAAAGGGTTGTCAATAGAAATTGACAAAGTCAATATGTATTGAAAGTTTTTTTCTGGTTTCTTTTGTCATTTATTTCCAGTTTCATTGCACTGTGGTCAGATAATGAGCATGGAATAATTTCTGTTTTCTTCCATATACTTAAGCATGACCTATGGACCAGTATGTGGTCTATTTTAGAAAATGACCCATGTGCAGCTGAGAAAAATGTGTATTCAGCTGTGTTTGGGTGCA